GACACGTCTGGTGGTGCGATAGGGGGCGAGTTATTTTCAGGGAAGATGGATGGAAGAGGAAGGGTCGGAGCGTGCAATGTAAGAATCAACGAGTCTTGGTCGACTGCTTTTGGTGGGGCAACTGCTGCTACCCGAGGAGGCACAACCGATGTCAGAAATTCCACCTCCGAAAGAGGCGGACGAGGAGGAACGACATATAGTATCATGAACACTTCGCAACCTCAATCAAACAGACACTTGATACGTATGCAGCCAAGTGAGACATGAGACAAGTACATGAAGACGTCGCATGTGAGTAGGCACGTGGGCAAACACGGACGTATGCACATACGGAAGGACATCAGGACGTGACGCTGCAAGTGAGCGAACAGTCCAGCTACTAATGAAGTAAGCAAGCAAGGGCGGCGATAGCGCACCCCCGAGTGCAACAGCGCCCGACCGATTGCTTCGGAGGAGGCCCGTCGAGACACCGGCGGCCCCCCCGCCCGAGCCTCCCGTGGGCCTCCCGTGGGCCTTCTCGTCGCCAAGGCTGGGCCCGCCCTGGCAAAGCTGGCCAGGATGGACCCCAAGCGGGGTCCGGGGACCGACTTGGACGGACCTGAGCCGAGTGGGGTTAAGTCGGGCATGTCCTTCTCCAGGAGGAATATTCAAAGGTACTCCAAGAATAGTCTTGGAACGATTTGTCTTTTACTTCTGGCTGTTTTTTTGCATATATGTATGTATGTATGTACGTATGTATGTATGTATGTTTGCTTGTTTGTTTGTTTGTTTGTACGTACGTACGTATGTATGTATGTAAGTAAGTAAGTAAGTATGTATGTATGTATGTACGTATATATATATGGACAATTATTCCCAACCGTCCTGTGGTGATGGGTCCTCGTTTTGAAGAGACGGTGCCCCGCGTTCCCGCCGCTCCCGCTCCTCCTCCCCCTCCTCCTCCTCCTCTCCTCTCCTCCTCCCCTCCTCCCCTCTCCTCCCTGCGTTTCACCCACCCAGTGCAGCGTTTCGTGGCCCCACAGGGAGCTCCACCGAAGGCCGCAATGGCAGCGTTCGCATGGCGGCCTCGGGCCATTTCGGCACACCCCTCACGAGGATCGTGGCCCCATAGGGAGCACCACCGAAGGCCCCCAGTGGCAGGATTCGCATGGCAGCCTCGGGCCATTTCGGCACACACCCAACGAGGATCGTGGCCCAATAGGGAGCTCCATCGAAGGCCCCAGTGGCAGCGTTCGCATGGCGGCCCCGCCCCATTTTGGCACACCCCTCACGAGGATCGTGGCCCCATAGGGAGCTCCACCGAAGGCCCCAGTGGCAGCGTTCGCATGGCGGCCTCGGGCCATTTCGGCACACCCCTCACGAGGATCGTGGCCCCATAGGGAGCTACACCGAAGGCCCCAGTGGCAGCGTTCGCATGGCGGCCTCGGGCCATTTCGGCACACCCCTCACGAGGATCGTGGCCCCATAGGGAGCTCCACCGAAGGCGCCAGTGGCAGCGTTCGCATGGCGGCCTCGGGCCATTTCGGCACACCCCTCACGAGGATCGTGGCCCCGTAAGGGAGCTCGCCCGAAGGCGCCAGTGGCAGCGTTCGCATGGCGGCCTCGGGCCATTTCGGCACACCCCTCGCGAGGATCGTGGCCCATAGGGAGCTCCACCGAAGGCCCCAGCGGCAGCGTTCGCATGGCGGCCTCGGTCCATTTCGGCACACCCCTCACAAGGATCGTGGCCCCATAAGGGAGCTCCACCGAAGGCCCCCAGTGGCAGGGTTCGCATGGCGGCCTCGGGCCGTTTCGGCACACCCCTCACGAGGATCGTGGCCCCATAGGGAGCTCCACCGAAGGCCCCCAGTGGCAGGGTTCGCATGGCGGCTCGGGCCATTTTCGCCACACTCCTCACAAAGATCCGTGCCCCGTAGGGAGCTCACCGAAGTAGTAGTAGTAGTAGTAGTAGTAGTAGTAGTGTAGTTAGTAGTAGTAGTAAAGTAGTAGTAGTTAGTAGTAGAGTAGTAGTAGTAGTAGTTAGTAGTAGTAGTAATAGTAGTAGTAGTAGTAGTAGTCTAGAGTCGTAGTAGTAGTATAGTAGTAGTAGCAGGGTCGTGATAGGTAGAGTAGTAGTTGTAGTTAGTAGTAGCAGTAGTAGCAGTAGTAGTCGGCGTCGTCGAGTCGTAGTAGTATAGTAGTAGAAGTAGTGTCGTAGTGGTGGAAGCAAACACATTTGTAGTCGTAGTCGTACTAGTAATAATAGGTTAGGTTGTGGTAGTGTATGTAAGTAGTAGTAGTAATAGAAGAAGAAGAAGAAGTAGTAGTACTAGTAGTAGTAGTAGTAGTAGTCGTAGTAGTAGTAGTAGTAGTAGTAGTAGTAGTAGTAGTAGTACGACTAGTCGTAGAACTAGTAATAGTAGTAGCAGTAGTAGTAGTAGTAGTAACAGTAGTAATACTAGTAGTAGTAGTAATCGTCGTGTTAGTAGTAGTAGGAGTAGTAGCAGTAGTAGTAGTAGTAGTAATAGTAGTAGTAGTAGTAGTAGTGGTAGTAGTAGTAGTAGTAGTGGTAGTATTAGTGGTAGTCGTATTATTATTAGTAGTAGTAGTAGTAGTTGTTGTTGTTGTAGTAGGAATAATAATAACACTGGTCGTATTAGTAGTAGTAATAGTACTAGTAGTAGTAGGAAAACTAAACATAGTCGTTGCAAGAGTAGTATTAGGAATCATACAGAGAGTAGTCGTGGTAGTAGTAGTAGTAGTAGTAGTAGTAGTAGTAGCCGTAGTAGTAAACATAATATTAGTAGTGGTAGTAGTAGTAGTAGTAGTAGTAATAATAGTAGTAGCTATAGTAAACATAATCGTCGCAGACGTAGTAGTAGTAATCGTAGGAGTAGTGGTAATAGTAGACGTAGTAGTAATAATTCGAATCGTGCTCGTAGTTTGCGTCGTCGTTGTAGTAGTCGTAATAGCAATACTCGTAATCGTCATAGTCGTCGTAGTCCTAGTACTTGTAGTAGTGGTAGTAGTAGTAGTAGTAGTAGTCGTAGTAGTAGTAGTAGTAGTAGTAGCAGTAGTAGTAGTAGTAGTAGTAGTAGTAGTAGTAGTAGTAGTAGTAGTAGTAGTAGTACTAGTAGTAGAAGTAGTCGTAGTAATAGCAGAAATAATAGTAGTAGTACTTCTAATCGTAGTAGTAGTAATAGTAGTAATAGTAGTAGTAGTAGTAGTCGTAGTAATAGTAGTAGTCGTCGTGGCAATAGTAGTCGTAGTCGTAGTAGTAGCCGGAATCGTAGTAGTAGTAGTAGTAGTAGTAGTAGTAGTAGTAGTAGTAATAGTAATAGTGGTCGTAGTGGCAGTAACCACAAGATTCGTGGTGGCCGTGGTCGTAGTAGCAGTACTGGGGATCTTAGAAAACAATAGTAGTAGTACCAGTAGTCGTAATAGTGATAATAGTTCGCATAGTGGGCGTAACACTAGTAGAAGTAGTCGTAAACATAATCGTAATAGTCGTAATAATTGCACGTGCGCTAACAGCCGTGGTAGCTGTAAAAAACAACACTGCTATACATCAAGCTGACAGTCGTAGTAATTGTAGTCGTAGTAGAACAAATAATAATGTTAGTGGTGGTGGCAACCATCGTACAAGAAGGAGTAGTCGTAGTCGTAAAAGTAGTAGTAAGGTGGTGGTAGTAGTAATCATAGTGGTGGTAGTAATAGAAGTAGTAGTACTAGTAGTAGTAGTGGTGGCAGCCGTAATCGTAACAACAAGCATAAAACGATCAAAAACCTAGCAATACTAGTAGTAGTAGTAGTAGTAGTAATCGCAGTCGTACTCGTAACCCTAGTAGTCGTAGTGGTAGCAGTCGCAGTAGTAGTAGTAGTAGTAGTAGTAGCCGTCGTAGTAGCAGTAGTAGTAGTAGTAGTAGTCGTAGTAGTAGTAGTAGTAGTAGTAGTAGTAGTAATAATAGCAGCAGTAGTAAAGTAGCTGTAATAGTACTAGTAGTCGTCGTAGTAGCAGTAGTAGTAGTAGTAGTAGTAGTAGCAGTAGTAGTAGTAGTAGTAGTCGTAGTAGTAGTAGTAGTAGTAGTAGTAGTAGTAGTAGTAGTAGTAGTAGTGGTAGTAGTAGCATTCGTAATAGCATTCGTACTCGTACTCGTAGTGGTAGTAGTCGTAGTATTAGTAGTAGTAGTAGTAGTACCAGTAGTACGTAGTAGTAGTAGTAGTAGTAGTAGTAGTAGTAGTAGTAGTAGTAGTAGTAGTAGTAGTAGTAGTAGTAGTAGTAGTAGTAGTAGTAGTAGTAGTAGTAGTAGTAGTAGTAGTAGTAGTAGTAGTAGTAGTAGTAGTAGTAGTAGTAGTAGTAGTAGTAGTAGTAGTAGTAGGTGTAGTGGTGGTGGTGGTGGTAGTAATGGTACAAATGGTACACACGGGACCAACCTTTCTGTGTGGCTTTCCCCGGAAGCGTAATGCTTATAAATTTTTCGTTGAAGCACCGACGTGGAATCGGCGATGCATCGCCTATAGATCGGCGCACTGCCCCCGGTAGCGAATCCGCACGCTCTCAGGCGGGCTGCGCCATCGGGCCCCTATCGGCGAGGAGTGGACGGTTGGAGTCGATGCGTCCCCCCTGAGCCTGTCCCCCCCCTGACGACGACAATGACGAGGAGGATGATGGTGATGGTGATGGTGATGGTGATGGTGATGATGGGGATGGGGATGGTGATGATGATGATGATGATGATGATGATGATGATGATGATGATGATGATGATGATGGCGATGATGATTATGATGATGATGATGATGATGATGATGATGATGATGATGATGGGAATGCTGATGATGGGAATGCTGCTGCTGATGATGATGATGATGGTGGTGATGATGATGATGATGGTGATGATGATGATGATGATGATGATGCTGCTGCTGCTGCTGCTGCTGCTGATGCTGCTGCTGCTGCTGCTGCAGGCAGTGTGACCTCGGCGGGGGGGGGGGCGGTGCACGCAGGAGGCGCGCGGCTCCTCCTGCCACGCCTGCGCGGGGCGCGGCGCCACGGACCTCGGCCGCCCCCGCCCCCGCCCCTGGGCAGCCCGCCAGACATACCTTGGCGGCGCGCACAGAGGGGTGGTACCCGGAGATCCGGGTGATGCAACTTCTCCACACCTGACGCTATCGCCCGGTTTCGTAGAGGTCTCCCCGAAGGGGTCCGAGCAGATGGGGTCGGAGGATCGCGCAGCATCGGCGATGCATCGCCGATGCGTCGGCGACGTCGGCGATGCATCGGCGATGCATCGGCGACGTCGGCAGCGCATTGGCGATGCCGGCTTGGAGAGAATCAGGCTGCACATCGAGCCGCATCGCCGATGCATCGGCGATGCTGCGCGATCCTCAGACCCCATCTACTCCGACCCCATCTGGGAAGCCTAGATTTGGGACTGAGAGACCATCACATATCGATCCGGCTCGAGAAATGCAGCAACATCTTTTTTTCGCCCCAGTGGCTGGGTTCACATGCTTAACCGCATGCCGATGATAATAAAGGGACCCCCCCCCTTCAGTGTTTAGAGTTGATTATCGTCGCCCTATACAAAATTCAAATTGGGCGGCGAGCGCTGAGGCCGAACTTCATTATCACCTCGAAACGCTATGTTGAGATAGCAACATCAATCGATGTTGATATAGCAACATCAAGCGAAGCGATCACACTTTTTCAGGATGTGTCAAGCGAAACCAAAAATTTTGGGAGGCAGACTCAAACGAAACGAGCAATGTTCCAAGGATGTCTCAAGGATGTTTCAAGCTAAACCAGCAAGTTTTTTCTTTTTATACATATATATATTATTATCTTCCTTTTTATATATGTATCTATCCCCGCGCGCGCCTGAACTTTTTTATCTCTGGGGTTGATTATCCATGGAAAGGGGAGCACATGAGCTACCCTACATGAGCACTTAAACAAATCAATTTTCATAAAGCGTTTGTAAATTAAAATTGCTAGATTTGGAACTTTCCATTTTTCCGTTCTTCTTCTCTTCTTCTTCTTCTCTTCTTCTTCTCTTCTTATTATTCTTCTACTTTCCTCTTCTTATTTTATATTTCTATCTGTCCTCACGCTCGCCTGAACTTTTTTATCCCTGGGGTTGATTATCCATGGAAAATGAAGCACATGAGCTACCCTACACGAGCACTTAAAAAATCAATTTTCATAAAGCGTTTGTAAATTAAAATTGCTAGATTTGGAACTGTGGATGTTTCCTTTCTTCGTCCTCTTCTTATTCTCCTCTTCTTCTTCTTTCTTATTATTCTTCTACTGTATTCTTCTTCTTTTATATTTCTCTCTGTCCCCACGCTCGCCTGAACTTTTTTATCTCTGGGGTTGATTATCCATGGAAATTGAGGCACATGAGCTACCCTACACGAGCACTTACAAAAAACAATTTTCGATTTGTCGAGGATGTCTCCAGCGAGATAAGCCATTGTTGAGGATATTTCTATGACAACTAAACGCCAAGGATGTCTCAAAACGTGCTCGGCTTGGTCTCCTCTTGATCATCTCTTACTTCGAGATTATGCTGAGGTCTGCTGGGCTACTTTTATTATCTCTCCCTGAACCCCGAACTTTATTATCCCCTAGTGTTTATTCTCACGGGCATGAGGTTACCTGCCCCATGTCGGCAGACCCCATAAGGAACTCCACCGAAGGCCCCCGTGACAAAGCCTGCATGCGTACCCGCTCCCAAGTCGGCACGCCCCTCACACGTTTCGTGGCTGTATGGGGAGCTAAACCGAACGCTCCGATGGCTGCGTTCGCAGGGCGTCGCCCCGCCCCATTCCGGCACACCCCTCACCCTCTTCGTGGCCCCCCCCCCCTTGCGCTTTGAGCTGCGAGAGTGCGTGCGTGAATGGGGAACGTTGAGCGCGGTCTGACGTTCTTCGGCGAAGCGATGAGGCTGCAGATCCCTCAATGCGTTCTTGTCTTTTGGACGGTCGTGTTTTATAGTCGCCACGTGTTGACAATTCAGATAGGGTTGGGTCCTTCGCCAAACGGAGTTCAATGTGCGGCCCCCAGAAGTCTCGACCGTTTCTTCCGGGCCGTTTTCTACTACCGAGTCGTTCTTTGCCGGTTCCCAGGCTCGGTGAGGGCCGACGGATGCCGAACGTGGCCAAAAACTTCCCGTAGCGTTTTTGCTCCTGTTTCCAACGAAAGCATTTCTTGGACACGAGGTTCCCAAAAGCCCCCCAGAGGCTCCCAGAAGGCCCCAACAATCTCCGAATTCCTCGGCCCTCCGCCCTTTCCTGGTTGAGCAGGGACTGGCCGCCCCAGTATTCCTACAGGCCCACCGTGAAATTACCCCAAAATGAAAAAGACGGTGCTTCTTACCAAAACGATGTTGTCCGAACGCAAGTGTCCTAGAACAAAGCTATCTCCTGTCTCAGCCATAGAGAGACTCATCCAATTTTGCACCAGCCACAAGGTCAGCGATGCAGACCAGGACGTTTTGCCACTGCTTCACTTGAGACGCCCTGAGGTTCAGCGGCTCGATTCTCCCTGGGCATTGGTTCCCAGACCTCTCGACCCCGCCTCTGGGGCTAATCTTTTCCACAACCAGAATCACTTGCTGACAGCCCCAGAGCCCGAGCGCATCCTCGGGGCGCCCCACGCTGTGGGGAACAATCTGCCGCCCCAGTCGTTGCTGGAGCCGCTGGTGGATGTTTGGGCGGGAGGGGCCCCACGGAGAGGCGAGGTCCCGACTTGCTCCTGTACTTTGGAGAGGCCCTCCGCGAGGCGGCCGGCGACGGATGGGAGCGCCTGGCCGGCCGCTGCGCGCCCGCGGCGCTCCAGGCCCTGCTGCTGCGCGCGGAGGAGCACCGCTCCCTGGACGATGAAGAGAAAGCGCCACAAAACCGAAACTGTTGGCGCTCCGGCTCGACCACAGGCCAGAGTGACCAGTGGTGCGCGGCTTGCCGATCGCTGCGTGCGGTGCGGCCAGCGAGGGCCTGCGTGCCTTGGGCTAGGCGCCGCGCGCGCCGAAGCGAAGGCCGCGCACTGAATTCCCGCTCTCACGCAGGGTCACTGCCGACCCCGTCCAGGGTCTGGCTTGCGGGTGGTAGCTTTGGGTCGGGCATGTCCCCCTACAGGCGGACTGTGGAAGAAACGCGACGCCTAGTCGAAACATGCCCACACATAACCAACAAGTAATAGATAACTCGTTCCTTGATCATTTTTTGACTATTCTTGAATACTCCTCTTGTAGAGGGACGTGCTCGACTTAATCGTAGCCCGGGGCTCCGGCGGCGCTTCGGGACGATTAGGGATGCCCCCGGGAGAAGCTCTCGGCGAGGCGCAGCTGCTGGAACGCCCGAGGCTGCAACCCGCCGAGAGCCGACGAAGACGCGTGAACATCTCGAGCCTCGATCCTGCGAAGCGAGGCCCTGGCGAAGGGCCCACGCTCACGTGCAGCCCGACACGCCTGGTCCCAGGAGCGACCTCTGGTGCAGGCCCAACGGTCAGGCTGGCGAAGGGCCACTCCCGAGGCATCCGACGGTGTGGCTTTTCAATACGCGGCCCCAGGAGCTTCCGCTGGTCTACAGAACCTGCGCGTCGTGGCTGTGGGTGTCAACCCGAGCTTCAGTGCCTCGACCGGGCGAGCAGCAAGCGTCGCGTAAAGGGACTGCGTGCCTTGTCCTCCTGGCTTGGCGTCGTCATCTCCGTCGTCCGCACCGGCAGCCTCGCGAGGGCCTCCTCCCCCTGGCGCGGCGCCTCCCGCCGCCGCGAGCTCGGCACGACGGCGCTTCTCCCGTCGAGCTGCCCCCCCCCCCCGTCGACGCCCCGCTCCCTCTCTTCCCCCCCCAACGCCCGCCGCTCCTCCCCCTCCACCGCCCGCCGTTGGCGCAGCGTTGAGCCTCGTCGACGGGCTGGCGCGTCGCAGGCGCCATGGCTTCTTCGAGGGCGACCCTCGTCTCACACGCGGCGGACGGGCCCCCGGGGCCGAGACCGAGGAACCACGCCGGGGACCCGAGGAGCCAGGGACGGGAGAAGCACCACTTCTGGGTGGCCCGCGCGGATTTCTGGGGCCGGCGCCGGACCCCCCCCCCTGGGGCGGCGCGGAGCGCGCCAGGGGCGGCGCCGCAGGCGCCGCCAGGGGGGCCCGGCGCCTATCCCAAAAATCCGCGCGGACCTCCAGACGTTTATGGTTTTGCCGTTTTCGGCATTCCAAATGTGTATGAAAAAAAGGGTTAATTCCAGATTGTTACTCCACATGCTATTCTAAATGTGTTACTCGCGCGGACCTCAGAGAAATTAAATACACGTTTGCAACTTGTTTGTGTTTTGCGAGGGCCCGAACAGATCACATCGTCGGAGATCTGGGCCTCGCGGCCACGCCGGCCAGGGGCCCCATCCGAGACTCTCGTGCAGAGCAAGAGGCAGCCAGCGCCGACCCGAGAAAACCGCGCGGAACTCCGAGAAATAATGCGTGTACAGCCAGACCGAGGGCAGAATAGCATCCTCAACAAACATGAGACCCTCCGCTGGTCAAGCCGAAAACGATGCGAGGCCCCCCCCCCCGGATGCACAAAAACATCCAACAACCACGAAGATCATTCGGGTCCCTTCCACGAACCGACCTCGATCTTACACCTCGGTCCGACCGTATCGTTTTTCGAAAAACGCGAGGCCGGCGCGCGGGCGAAGGGCGACTCGCGTGTGGTAAGAGGCCAGGGCGGAAGAAACACGCCTGGGCCAGAACAACAAAGCACGTCGTTGGAGATCTGGACCCAGCGGCCACGCCAGCCAAGGTCGGCTACACGTAAGAATGCCGCTGGGCGAGGGCGGCCTTTGATGCTCGATTTTCGGGGGGCGCGGCGAGGCCAAACTCGAGCGCGTAAGACACTGCTATCGTATCGCATTCACATATGGGGACGCCAGTGCACCCGCACCCAAGGTCACTCACGCGAGAGGTGCGGTAGGTTCGTGCGGCGTCGGCGCGCGCAAAGATTTTGACACCGCATCAGTCGTTCAACCTTGAATCGATCGCGGCCCCGATCGTTGAAGGTTTCATTCTACTGGGTCCAATGGTGCTCCCGCGTCCATCGGTGCTTCCGCATCACAGAACTCAGCCCTGAACGCCTCCGCTGGCGTCGCCGGCGCGCCAACGCCACGCGAAACTACCAGAACTCCTACGTGTAGCCGGCCACGGGCCCCTCCGAGCCTCACGTGCGGCAGTGGGCGAAGCCGGCGCGCCGGGGCCCCCGCACTGTGGGCCTCTCGGCCTGCGCCGCGTGCGTGGCCGCCTGCCCGGCGCGCGCAGGGGGGGGGGCGGGGGGCGAACCTGCCGCGATAGAAAAGATGGCGAAGGCGAGCTATCGGCGGTATTTCGGCGGCGACCAGATCGCGTTGTCTGAATCCCTGGGGGGTCGTGCAAATTTAAAGCCTGCGAGCGAATGCCCCTGACCCAGGCTATAAAAAATATGGCGGCAAGGTGTGTTGATGCCAGCGCGCGCTGGTCCACGGGAACCCTCGCTCGGCACGCGGAGCGCGGAGCCGAGGTCACTCCCAGGGCCAGGCGCAGCGCCCCTCGTGGCCAAGCCAGGCGGCAGCTGCAGGAAGGAGGAGGGTGGGGGAGGACGAGGAGGGGCCGGGACAAGGAACGAAAACGGCGAACAAGCAGGGGGAAAGAGAGAGAGAGAGAGAGAGAGAGAGATGAGGAAGCAGCAAGCAAACCAGCAAGCAGGCAGACGCACGTTGGAAGGGCGGGGGGCGGGGGCCTGCGTCGGCGGCCGTCGGGGTCGTCGTCGGCGTGGGTGGCGGCGGCAGGGTGGTCGTCATCGGCCAAGTGCGGAGGACGGGGGCATGTGCGGCGGGGCGGTCGTCGGAGGCGGCGGGGTTGGCGTCGTCGGCCAAGCGCGGGGGCCGGGCCGGGGGCGAGGGCGGCGGGCGTCGCCAGCGGCCAAGCACGGAGGGCAGGGGCCAGGGCGGCGGGGTGGTCGCCGGTGCGGCGGGGTGGTCAGCGTCGGCGTCGGCCGAAGGCGGGGGGGCGGGGGCAGCGGCTGTCGGCCGGCGGCCTACGCAGCGTCTGCCGCCCGCGCCGCCGTCGCCGCGGCCAGCCGGGCTGCCTGCGCCGTGTGGGGCCCGCAGCCTGCGGAGCACGGCACGCGTGTTCTCCCTGTGCTAGAGAAGCGCGAGTCGCTGGGCGTGCTCCGCCGCCACGAGGGCGGGGTCCTTCCCTGTGGCATCAGCCGCGCGCTTCGCCAGGGCGGCTAACGCGCGGCGTGCCTCCTTGCCCCAGGCGCCGCCGTGCGCCTCCATCACCGCGTGGGCGAAGGTGACGCCGGCCGCGCTGCAGCTGCGCGCCGCGTCGACGAATCGGCGCTTGTGTTCCTCGTAGCGCTCGACGGCAGCGCCGGGCGCGGCGGCCGAGGCTGTCGCCCCGCAGCCCGGAAGTGATCGCAAGGTCAAGCGACCGGGACGCCGTTGCGCCAGCGGGGGATGTGCACATCCGCTGGGCGCCGGCCTCGCCGCCGTCGGCCTCCGTCCCGGGCGGGCCCTCCCCTCGCTCGCGGGGCTGCAGCAAGCCCGGCCGCTCGAGCTCGGCGCCTGGGAAGCCCGCTGCCTGCGCGGCGAAGAAAGCCTTGTCGCGGAGGGCGTTGTGCCGCTTCACGCGGTCCCCGCGGCAGGGGCACGCCAGCGCGTGGTCCCCGTAGAGGTCTATGACGCCGTCGCAGGCCGGGCATAAGGCCTCTTCGCTCGCCAGCTGCACCCGCAAGCGCCTCTGCAGAGCGACCTGCGTCAAGCCGCGCGGGAAGGCCGTGCCGACCTCGGCGCACGGCCGTGCCTGCAGCCAGCCGCAGGCGCCCTCCGCGCTCACCAGCGTGAGGTGGGCCCTGGTGGCGAGGCTGGCGCGCTCCCAGAGTTCAGCCTTGGCGGCTTTGTCCAGTTTGTCAGAGTGGCCCCGCTTGTCGCTGGGCGTTGTAGGATCTCTCGGCCGCGCCCCAAGCGCCGTCGGCGTCTGTCGTCGTCGGAGTAGCCCGCGCAGAGCTGCCGCCCGTCGGCTGCGAGCGAAGGGGGGGGAGTGAGGAGGAGGAGGTTTTCGCAGAAGGTGGCGGGGCTTCTCAGAAACCCTCGGGCCTTATGACACACTTCTTTTCGGGGTTCGGGAACTTCTCGGAAGGGCGAGGGGCTTCCGAGCCTTCCGAAAACAAAAAGGCCCGCTCCTGGTCACTTCCCCCATTCGCTTGCCGCCGAATTCTGGTATCGGCGGCTTCGGTAGCAATTCATGGGAGTCCTAGGTGCCCTTGCAATTCCGCTTGCCCTAGCGTGCGCTAGTGTCTGGCAATCGATCAGAAAACGCCGATTCAGCAACGAGTCGCGTCGATTTGGCGTTGATGAGCGTAGACTGGCGCCGATTCGCAATAAGCAGCAAGATGACATGGGAAACTCCAATGGGTTGCCACAACATGCGAACTATCGCAGATCTGGCCATGTGAAGCAGACTTCAGCTCGATGTCCGCAGATGCCCTCAGTTCTCCTTGGCGTCGCCTGGGGCGTCCCCGAAGCGGTCTCTCGCGGTCCCCTCCCGTCGGTGCGACCGAAGTTCGCACGGACGAAGACCCGCAACATTTCCTACTCCGTTCGAACAGGCCTCGCTGCCGGCGCCGCCGCGAGCGTTATCGGTCGGAGGCATTGGTCGCCTGCCACACAGCGGCCGCTGTCGGTGTTGGACAACACTTACGGCTGGGCACGGCACCCATGTATTTCGTGCTCATGCGGGGCGTGCTAACAACATATGATGATGCTGGTGGTGGTGCTGCTGCTAATGATGCTGATGCTGCTGCTGCTGCTGATGACGATGACGATGACGGTGATGATGATGGTGGTGATGCTGACGATGCTGAGGATGATGGTGATGATGATTTCTGGTCGCTTTTTCCCAGTGCGCACAATGTTTCAGCCTTGAGTGCTTGACATGGCCCACGCGAGACCGAATCTTACGCGTCTGAGCGTCTGTGTCCGCGCAGGCTCTTGAGCCCAAAGGCAACTATAGAGATGATGGCCCTCCAGGGAGCTGTAAAAGACCGAGGGCAACACTCATCAGGAGAGAAGACTCTCTATTCACACGCGCCCGAGCTTCACCGCAACTCACTATGCGATGCGCCCGCCAACCAAGGCCCCAGCTGTGCCTGCGTGCACGGACTCACTGACGCCTCATGCTATAAATCCGATTCGCTGCGACATGAGGCCTCATGACGCTCGATCCACAATGCTCCAACGTTATTGACTGCTGCCATGCCCACGGCTCCTACGGGCTGCCCCTCCAGTAAAGTAAGAGACCAACATGAAACGACCATTCGCCATAACGAAGTCGTGTGCCGTGATGTACAACTCCAACTTTGCAACCCAGTGCCCGTAGCGATAACCAATATAGAACGCAATGCCAAGAGCAACAAAAAGTAGAGCGCTTTCGCGATGAAAATGACAGTGCGGATAATTAGCGTACTCGATTGGGGCGAAAACGATTCAAGCCATGCTGTTGACAACTTCGAAGAGCGCGTCGATCCGCTTTTCCTTGGGCCTCGGGGGGGGGAGCGCGCCTTGGCCCGCGTCCTTGACGTTCGACCATCGAGAATGTTTGAGATCTGGGGGCTCTGGAGGATGTCTCGGGCGCCGCTGTCTTCTCAGAGCGTTCCGGAACGCTCTAGAGCATATTTATTCTCGTCCTGGCCCCTTCCCACCCCCTGAGCCTATCGCACATCCCCCCCTATTGTTGCCCCTGAGCAACGCGCGAAGCGCGATCACACCTCCGTGCTGGCCGTGGGCTGAGATGCGCTTATGCCTTGGGGGACAGGATCGGCCAACATCGAATCGGGAGGTCGAGTCGGATCGGAATGTGCGTCGGGCCGGGCCGCATCGGCACAGGGCCGGGGCATCCAATCGATTTGGCCGCGCCAGGGCTGCACAACAAAGCAGTGCGAGCATCGGGCCGCATCGGATCGCCGGAACATCGGAATCGAATCGGATCGAGCCGGCAGGACCCAGACATCCGACGTCTCGACTTTTTCAGGACGGGGTCCCTGGAAGTCCCGACCCCCCTTCCCCAGGGCCGGCTTCTCATCCCGAGCCGCCGTTCGACGGTCCTGGGGCGCGGCGAAGGCCTCGCGAGGCCGCAAGCGGCAGATCGAGCTCCCGTCGTGAGTTCTGCCGCGACGCGTCGGGGCCGGATCGCATCGCCCTCGGATCGGCACGGGCCTGGCGGGGGGGCGGCGACGGCGCGGGCGCTCGGCCTCGAGCCTGCCCTCGAGGGCCGAGACGCGCTGCTGGACCTCCCCGAGGTGCTCCTCCGCGAGGGGCGGCCGCAGGAGCTCGCCCTCGAGCCGTCTCTCGAGGGCCGAGACCCGCTGCTGGACCTCCTGCGCGCGCGCGGCGCTCGCCGACGGGCCAGGCTCACGAGCGGCGAGCGCGAGGAACCCTCACGCCGAAACCTTCGGGCCTGCTGCGCCGGAAGCCTCCTCACGCCTGGCACCTTCGGGCTGCGTCGACCGCCTACCTCCACGTCCCTCTTCATCCTCCCTCCTCGCTGATCCTGAAGAAGAGAAGAAGGAGGAGGAGAAGGAGCAGAAGGAGGAGAAGGAGAGGAGGAGGAGGAGGAGAAGGAGAAGGAAGAGGAGGATGACGAGCAGAGGGGGAGGATGGAGGGGGAGAAGAGGGACGATGATGATGATGATGATGATGATGATGATGATGATGATGATGATGATGATGATGATGATGATGATGAGGAGTATGCTCCACCTCCTCCTCCCTGGTGAGGCCTGGCCGGCCCCTGAGATCCTGGCGCCGCAGCTGCTTCGCGCCAGGCGTTGTCGCCCAGCCTCGGGCCCCGGGACCCTCACGGATCGACCTGGCTCGAGCGGCGGCGCAGCAAAACAGGGGCCAGGGCCGCCCTGGTCGTGTCTCGCTGCGATGCTGCACTTTTTCTCGCAGCGTCGGGTCTCACCGGCTGCTGGACCTTCTGCGCGCGCGGCGCTCGTCGACGGGCCAGGCTCACGAGCGGCGAGCGCATCCAGCAAGGCTCTGGGCTGCGCACAGACAACCCTCCCAGATGGTTCCAGCTGGTCTCAGCAGGCCCCCCGAGTAGTCCGGGGCGGTCTCAACACCCCGCCGCCGCCAACAGCGGCGCCCCTGAAGCGCTCCTCGCCCCAGGGTGAAGGTGTCGAGAGCGCCCCAGACTACTTGAGGGGCCTGCTGAGGCACTGCAGGACTATCTGGGAGGTCTGTCTATGCGCAGCCCAGACCCGATGCTTCTAAGAGGCCCCAAGGTCGCACGAAGACGGCTCCAAGTGGCCACGGAGCCTCCCAAGGACACCCTCGAGAGGCCCAAATCCCCCAAACAACCTAAAAGGGGAATCAATGAGTTTTGCCTTCCCGCACTTTCGCTAGACGGCCCCGAGAGCGCTCAAGAGCGCCCAAGACGGCCCCAAGAGGACCCCATGAGGGCCCAAGAGGCCTTCAAGGCGGCCCCAGCGAGGACCCCTAAACAGCCTCGGGCGCCTTCACACAGCCCGAAAAGCCCCCAGGAGGCCCCAAGAGTCCCCAAGAGGCTTTCAGAGGCCCGCCCACAAGAGGCCCCAAGAGACTCCCAAAAAGCGCACCAAAAGCCTCGAAAGGGGCCTCCAGGAGGCCTCCAAGAGGCCCCAATCTACGCCAACATGCCACTTCCTGCTCCTCCTCCTCCTCCTCCTCCTCCTCCTGCATGGCCGCCAGATTTGCCGCTCTGTGGGCTCAATTTGACTACGGAGCCCTTCTGGGGCCCACCCTGGCACTTGTTTTTCGAGCTGCGTCCAGCCGTGGCGACGGGAATCTCCAGAAACGCCGGACAAGAAACCTTCGCAACGACGACGATAAAGACCTCGTCTTCGAACTTGCCCTCACATTCTCTGAGTTCCATTATGACAAGAGCTGCGCGCACGTCGACGGCACGCAAGACTGACCCCTAGCGAGAGGCGGCTTTTGGGGTGCGCGGCATGCCGATCGCTGCATGCGATGCGACAGTAGCCGCGAAAAGGGCCACTCTCACGCTTGGCGCGAGGGGACACGGGCCCCCAGGGAAACGGGCCCTAGACCCCAGTGCCCCCCCCATGGGGAACAGTTTCTCCATCCCCAGCAGTTCCCAAATCGGAGGTCTTAAAACGATGCGGTGACAGACCTCGGCATCCCGAAAGGCCTCACCGCACGGTCCCCAGAGATCTAACCTATGGAAAGAATCAAGACGGACATTTCTTTGCCAGTTGCGGCCTCTGGAGGCCCTCGCCGGGCCCCGGGGCCGTCAAATACAACTCAAGATGGAACGCCGGCCCTAGGGAAAGGGTCGGGACTTCCCGGGCCCCCGTGTTCAGGAAAATCACAGCATCGGCTCCTTCGGTCTGTCACCTCACCGCACGATCTTGGGACCTCGAAGTGCCCCGGCCGTCCGAGACGTCCTCGGAGAACGACCCGAGCTCCCAAGCCGTGCGGTTACCCCGGATCCCCACTGACTCGCCAAACAGTGCGGTCACCGCAACTTTGATGGATCCGTGGAGATTTCGTCCAGGATCCGTGTTTCACGGTCCCGGGGCCCGGGAAGGGGCCCCAGAGGCCCGAGATCGAGGACAAACTCACGGGAGATCTGATCTCGGGTGGGGTCACCGCGCCGTCTTGGGGCCCGTGGGGAGAGCCCCGGGAGGGTGGAGACGGCGAAAGACCGCCAGGGACCAATCTCCCCCGACCCCGTTTTTGCTTGTTTCTTTGCTTGTTTGTCTGTTGTTGTTGTCGTTGTTTTCCGTGTTGTGTTCCCCCTCCGTTTTTCACAATCAGGATCCCTGGAGGTATCGACCCATTCCCACAGAGACCAACTTTTCATCCTGAGTCGTTTTTGGACGGTCCCGGGGCCGTCGAGGGCCCCTCGAAGCCGAGAATGGCCGAAGACCCCCCGCCGAGCTTACTTCACGAGTCGAAGGGGCCTGTCGCCCTCTCGGGACCCGCTCGCTTCATGACGATCGCGCGTGGAGCCCATATTTCACCATTCGCGATAACGCCAGTGCCTGGCCCCGCCTGAGATCCAACGACGCGAGAAAGGCAACATCGCAAAACAGTACGACTGGAGCCACAAGCCACATCTTTCTGCTGCAATTTCCGAGCTCGGGGCCCGAAAAGAGGCGAAATCGCCCAGCGCCCAAAAAACACGACGCCGGGACCTCAGGCTCCCCCCCCCCCCAAAAGGCACGCTCGCTATCGCCAGGGAGCTAAACAAAAAAAAGGTTTCGTACGCCGAGCGCGCCGCTCGGGCAAGGCGCGTCCTGCAGCGACCGCGCCACGGGCCCCTGCGCCGCAGGGTTGCCCTCCTCCATCCTTCTTCGCCTCCTGCTGCTGCTCCATCATCCCTCCTCCTCCTCCTCCTCCTCCTACTCCTCCTCCTCCTATATGCTTCTCTATCCTCCTCTACCCTCCTCTCTCCTCCTCTATCCTCTATCCTCTATCCTCTATCCTCTATCCGCCTCCCCCTGCTCCTCTGTCCTTTTCTCGTCCTTCTCTACCCTCCGTCTTTTGGAGCTCCTCGAGGCCTCGAGGGCCTCGAGAGGCAGACATCATTGATTTGTTGGGGTGCTTCAATGTTGTTGGGGTTCTCGCCTTTCGAACTTCCGACGTCTCAAGGCTACCCAAGAGGCCCACAAGACTGCCCCAAGAGGGCCCAAGATGCCCCCAAGAGGGCCCCCAAACGGCTCCAAGACGGCCCAAGAGGCGCTCAAGAGGGCCTCAAGACGGCCGCAAGAAGAAAGGCCCTAGATCGCGAACCGTCAATTGCAGCCTTCCGTCACAAGAGGCAAAAATCATTGATAATCTGAAGGTGTTTCAATCATGTTGGGGTTCTGGTCTTTTCGAGTTTCCGGCTCTCCAAGACGGCCCAAGAGCCTACCAAGACTGCCCCGAGACGGCTCAAGAGGCCCTCAAGAGAGTTCCGAGACTTGGCGGCGAGCGAGGGGAGGAAGTGAGAAGGAGAAAGCCTTCTCAGAAGGCGGCGGGCTTCTCAGATGCCCTCCGTCCTTCTGAGAGGATTTCTGTATCTTCAAGCACGGCTTAGAAAACTTCTCAGAAGGCCGTGGGACTTCTGAGCCTTCTGTGAACGCCCACCCCTTCTCACTTCCCCCCCCGGCGCGCCGCTGAAAGACTGCCCCAGAGGGCTTCAAGATGGTCCAAGAGGGCCCCAAGATGGCCCAAAGGGGGGGAGCACGAACGGACAATCCGAGCCTTCCGCCCCAAGATGCCCCCCAGCAGGCCCCCGGAGGCCTGAAAGAGGCGCCCAAAAGGGCCCCGAGAGGCAGACAACCTTGATCATCACGAGCTTTTAGGCCCAGTCCTGCGCCGCTTGTCCGTCCGTGCTTGCCTAGAGCGCGGCCGTCGCGGCGAGCACCCCGCGCGACGAGCACTCAGCGGCCGTCGCCCGTGGCCGAGGGCGTCGTGCGTCGCACGGGCCTCGCCTTCCTCTGGCGGGTCTCGATCGTTGCCACACCCGGGATGGCGAGGTCTTTCAATGGCGAGGTTTTTCAATGTCTTTGAGGTGCTCGCCTTCTCGAACTTCCGACGATCCAAGACGGCCCAAGAGGCCCCCGGCCCAAGAAGCTCTCAAGAGGCCCCTAGGAGGACCCAAAAGTTTCGAAAAAGCTCCAAAGAGGTGCCACAACGCCCCCCGAGAGGCCAAAATGAGGTCCACGAGGGCTCCGCAAGGAATGAAGACGACAGGTGTCACTGTGACGGCGTTCCTCCTCCTCCCCCTTCTCCTCCTCCTCCTCCCCATCCCCGTCCTCCTCAACCTCCTCCTCATCCTCCTTCTCCTCCTCTCGTTCTCCCCCTCTTCCTCCTTCTCCTTTTCCTCCTCCTCCTTCTCCTCCTCCTCATCCTCCTCCATCCCATCATCGTCATCACCATCACTGGCAACATCATCACCACTCTCACCATCACCACCACCACCATCATCATCATCGTCGTCGCCGTCATCATCATCACCACCATCATCACCGTCATCATCACCACCACCATCATCACCACCACCATCACTATCATCATCCTCATCACCATCACCATCACCGTCACCATCACCATCGCATCGTGAACATCATCGTCATCATCATCATCATCATCATCATCATCATCATCATCATCATCATCATCATCATCATCATCATCATCATTATCATCATCATCAACATCATCGTCATCGTCAGCGCCAACGCCATCATCATCAGGATCGCCACTTTCACCATCACCATCGTCATACACATCGCAAGCAACATCATTACCACTATCACCACCACCACCATCATCATAATATTCGTCGTCATCATCATCACCACCGTCATCATCATCGTCATCATCATCACCACCATCGTCATCATCATTACCACCATCACCATCACCTCCTCATTCTCACCCTTACCATTACCGCCACAATCATCAGCATCATTACCATTGCCATCACCATCACCACTACAATCACTATCACCATCACCACGATCATCAGTATCATAATAGTACTAATGATGTCAGTAAACATGGAAAGTCTAATCATTCTTAGTGTGATGATTATCAGTCTTCTTCGTATTATGGTTACCATTATTTGTCATTAGAACTGGTATTAGAATTAGTTATATGGTCGTTCGTATTCTTAGCAATCGCATTGTTGTTGTTAGTCTTACTCTCAGTATGGTCGATATTGTTATTCATATAATCTTCATCATCTTGATCGTCACCACCACCATCGCCACTGACGGGGTCACTGTCTTCGAACACGCACCAACACCCCAATACAGCCGAGGTGTCACACGTGACGGCGTCAAGCACCTTGCTCCCAGAACCCCTCAGGGCATCCTTACGAGAACGCGCCACGTGTTACGGCTCTCCGAAGTACGGAGTCACAAGATGCCACAAGTTAGGACCTCTGTGCTCCCTCGCGCTCAGACCACCGAGAAAGCTCGGCTGGCACGGTGGCGGGACTTGCCGCATGCAGCTGGACAATTCCCATACAGCCAGGCCGCGAATCTGGCCTGCTTGGGGCTCTGGCGCAACTCCTCAGTGCTCACCACCGACCCCCTGCAACGGCCACTCCACTCCAACTCCTGCTGAACCGCGGGGGAAAAAAACGCTGCAACTCCGCACTCCTTCCGCTCCGCAACCTCCAACTAACATCCAGTGCATGCCACCATTCGGCGGCGAGCCGGGGTGGAGGGAGTTCGAAGGAGAAGGCCTTCTCAGAAGGTCCCCCAGCCTTTTGATCAATTTTCGAAGCCTTCCCTGAATACGCAGAACACTTTTCAGAAGTTGCGAGGGCTTCTGAGAAGTCCCGCCGCCTTCTGAGAATGCCTTCTCTTTCTCACTTCCCCCCCTCGCCTGCCGCCGAGCCACCCCGTGTCCTTGCCTTGAGTAGGGCTGGGGGGTCAGGTCTGCAGAACACTTCAAATGGACGTCAAGGGGCGCAACCAACCCGTTTTGTTAAGCTGGTATTGGTGCACCACACCCGGCGTCAAGCCAAACCCTAGGACATGAACGACTGGTTTGATGTTGCACATCTTCGTCGGCTTAACCGGCGAGACGCTTGACCACCTTGACGTCCCTGACCCCCGGCACAGGTCCTTGCCTCTCCTCCGCTTCCTACGTCCTCCTCCCAGATGGCTCCGCGGACCCCTGGAGGACCCCGCAGGCCTCTGGTGGCGCACGCGTGCCAGAACCATTCCGAGCCTTGATCCTCGACTCGTTCTCCTCCGCCTCCTTCTCCTGGGTCTCGTCCTCGTACTCCTCGTCCTCCTTCTCGTCCTCGTCCTCGTCCTCTTCCTCCTCTTCCTCCTCCTCCATCTCCTCCTCCTCCCTCCTCCTCCTCCTCCCTCCCTCCTCTTCCTCCTGTTCATCCTTTCTCCTCTCCCACTTCATCATCACGTTTCCTATTCTTCCTCCTCCTCCTCCTGCCCCTTCCCTCGTTCTCCTCCGTTACTTTATCGCTCCTCCTCTGTTTCCTCCTCCTCCTCCTCCTCCCTATCCCTCTTCCCCTTCCTCCTCCTCCTCCTTCTCCTCCTCCTCCTCCTCCCCTCCTCCTCCCGCTCACTCTTCCTCCTCATCCTGGTTCTCCTCCTCCTCCTCCTCGCCTCCCTCTTCCTCCTCCTCCTCCTCCTCCCTCCCTCCTCCTCCTCCGCCTCCCTCTCCCTCTTCCTCCTCCTGCTGCTGCTGCTGCTGCTGCTCCTCCTCCTCCTCCTCCTCCTCCTCCAATGACCATCGATCAAACATCTGAACAACATCGGTCCCCATATACCTCACCGTGTCCATCCTGGCCACGTGTCTATCCCAGATCGACACCCGATGGGCCTGGTGCCCGAAACGGGTCCCGAGGGGCCGAAATCAAAGAACATCATTCGACGCGGTTTTTCTGACCCCCCCCCCTCTCTCCCTCTGTTTACCTCCTTGTCCGCGTCCGCATCGGCCGCCTCCTCTCCCTCCCCTTCCCGCTCCTCCTCCTCCTCCTCCTCCTCCTTCTCCTCCTCTTCCTTTTCTCCTCTGCTTTCTCCTCCTTCTCTTCATCCTCATCCTCTATGTCCTATGAGGATGCTGGTCGTGCAGCCAACACCTGCCTAAGGCCCAATACGAAAACTATCACAAGGCCAGGCGACGCCACTGGGACCTGAGACTTCAGCGACAAACCCAGGGTGGCGCACGCCTGAACCTGGTTCAAACCAGCCTGGGCGACCGCGCACAATGGGGAAGGGGGCACCCAGAACATATTTCCTCTTCCTCATCCCTCCTCCTCCTCCTCCTCCTCGTCCTCCTCCTCCTGACACATCAGGAAAATCGACATGTAACGTACTGCCGACCCGTCTGATCACCTCCGACACCAAGCCGACCCTAAACCGACCGCGACCATGCTCACCTCTGGCAGCAAGCCAATATGTGGCCGCACAGCCAGCCAACTCCGCCGCCAGCCGGGCCGCGCCTCCTCCTCCTCCTCCTTCTCCTCCTCCTCTTCATCCTCCCCCTCCCCCTGCCCCTCCACCTCTCCCTCTTTCCCCTCCCTCTCCCCCTTCTCGTCGTCCTCCTCCTCCTCCTCCACCTTTTTTTCCCTTACGTTTTCGCATAAATAACTCCTCCCTGTGGCATCCCCAGGCGTGTCGGTAGGGCGGGCTGGGCGTTTCGCCTGAGACTTCCTCATTGATATTTATGATCCTGACACATTGGGTTTGCAACATTTTCGGGTGATTTTCCAAACGTGGCCTCTCCTTGACGCCGCGCGCATTCGTTCTCACAGTTTGCAGCAGCTTCACGGATTAAGAGCGGGTGGTCTTCCAAATGTGGCTCTCGCCTGAGCGCCGCGCACATTCGCCCAAAAAGTTTGCAGCAATGTCACTAATGGAGAGCATGTGGTTTTCCAAATGTGGCTCTCGCCTTAGCGCCGCGCGCACTCGTTTTGAAAATGTGCAACGACTGGGAGGATGGAGGGCGGTTCTTTTTCAAAATTTCGTAGCCCGAGAACGGTGTTCTGTACGATTTGGGACTGTCACGTTGCAACTGCCACGTTGTTCTGCTGTGTTGAAATCACTGCATGGAGTGATCTGGCATGGTTTAGGGTATAGGGCGCAACAGTTATGCTGATCCGCAGCTTCGATCTCCCAGGAAAAGCGTCTTGGCACGAGGGAAGACTCTCAGACGGTTGTCTTCTATTGGGCCACTTCCCGGAATGACAACAAACTAATGTAGGGACCCATGAAGAGGGAACTTAGAGGGAATCTGTATTGCACAATCGGTGATGCTTGCACTGGTCCTCCTCCTCCTCCTCCTCCTCCTCCTCCCCCACTTCCTTCTCCAGAAGAACAAAAACGGCACAAACATAAACTTTTTCCGGTCCGCGCGGATTTCTTAGATCCGCGTCGGACCCCCCTCCCTGGCGCGCGAGTCGCGCCAGGGGCGGCGCTCGAGGCGCCGCCAGGGGGGGGCCAGCGCAGATCCAAGACATCCGCGCGGACCTCCGACAAATTATGCTTATGTAGTTTTTTGTTCTTCAATCCTCCTCCTCCTCCTCCTCCTCCTCCTCCTCGTCGTCCACCATTCCTTTTCCTTATAACGAACTTCTCCCTGTCGCACCCCGAGGCCAGTGTTTAGGGCGGGCCAGGCGTTTCGCCTGAGACATCCTCACCATTTATTGCCCTGAAGCTTAAACATGGGCTGGGCAACAGTTTCACAGATGGAGGGCGGGTAATTTTCAAAATGTGGCTCTCGCCTTAGCGCCGCGAGCCTTCGCTTGAAACATTTGCGAGAGCTTCACGGATTGAGGGCGGGTGGTTTTCAACATGTGGCTCTCGCCTCGGCGCCGCGCACATTCGTTTGAAGCATTTGCAGGAGTGTCACGGATGGAGAGCGGGTGGTTTTCAACATGTGGCTCTCGCCTTAGCCCAGCGCGCACTCGCTCGAAACACTTGCAAGGGCTTCATGGATTGAGGGTAATTCCTTTTCAAAATGTGGCTCGCGCCTTAGCGCCGCGCGCATTCCTTTGCAGATGTTGCAAGAGTTTCACGGGTTCCGCTCATCAGCGTCCCAGAAATTATATTTTGCAAGAATTCAGGAATATGACGTTCTGGCACGACTCAAGATCGTCAAGACGCAACAATCAAATTAATCAATTGCGTTAAACTCCCGAGAACAGTGTTTTGGCACGCTTCAGGGTCTTCAAACGGTTGCCTTCCAACGAGGCAGTTCCTTCAGTGGAAATGAACCCTTGTAGGGGCCTGTTAAGAAGGAGTTTGGAGGGAGAGCTTGTTTCAACATTATTGCTGATTCTTGGGTTTACACGGGTCCTCCTCCCCCTCCTCCTCTTCCTTCTCCTCCTCCTCCTCCTCCTCCTTCTCCCCCTCCCATTCCCCTCCTCCTCCTCCTCCTCCTCCTCCTCCTCCTCCTCCTCCTCCTCCTCCTCCCTCCTCCTGCCCCGGCCGCTCCTCGTCCCTCCCCTGCCCGGTTTCCCCCCCCCCCCCCTCCCCTCTCCGCCCCCCCAGCCGCCCCCTGGCCTCCGACGGGCGCTCCGCGCGAGCGGCGTGCAGCCCCTGCCGCAGCTCCTGAGGCCCCAGAGCTGGCTTCTTAGAAGGAAGCTGCTTCCTAGGAGGAGGAGGAGCAGGAGGAGGAGTAGTACGAGGAGGAGGAGGACGTCAACCATGCGCAGAGGGGGGCCACGTCGGAGGCCGCCCTGGCAGCACAGAAAAAGAAACCACGCCATAAACATGGTGAATTCCATGACAATGGGCACTGTAACGGCCCTATCATTGGATTTACAATCTTAAGAACTATGTAACACATGTTTCGATCATTTGTTTGGGGGTATCTGTTTAAACATGTTTCAACATGTTTTAGATATCTTGAATCCTCTCCATTGATCGTCCATTGATCGTCTACATAAGCATGAACTTTTGTCGGTCAACGCGGGTTTCTTGGATCTGCGCTGGACCCCTCCCTGGCGCGCGGGGCGCGCCAGGGGCGGCGCCAGGGGCGGCGCCGGAGGCGCCGCCGGGGGCCTCAAGGCAAGTCCAAGACATCCAGTCGGAGCTCCGACAACTTATGATTATGCATATGTTTCTTCCTCGACTGCCGGCTGCAGAGAGCACAACCTACAATTTACCCAGCGCCTCACTTACTCTGAGGCGCAAGAACTGATGCAGCTGTTGATGCGACTCTCTCCCTCCTGCCTCCTCTTTCCGCTCCTCCCCAACCTCTGCCTCCTCATTCTGCTGATGCCGGTGATGCTATCGCAATTGCTGCTGCTTCTTGTTTGTTGCTCCTACTCGTCGTCGTCGTCGTCCTCCTCCTCCTCCTTCTCCTTCCCCTCCTCCTCCTCGTCCTCCTCCTCCACCTTCCGTCATCCTTCTACTCGGGTTCTTCCTCCTCCTCCTCTTCCTCTTGCCACTACTCTCTTCACGGTCTTGTTGAATTTGGTGCATTCATCGTGGCCGTGCTCTTCCTCGGCACATGTCTGCGCGTTCTCTCCCTGCTGAATATATTCTTTCGTTGAGTGACCCTGCTGATTGTCCAGACCAGCCATAGCAATTATACCCCATACCTGCCAGGGCAACCGAACCACCCAGAACGATCACACCAACCACTCCAAAACGGAGGCGCCAACTCAGATGAGTCAGACCAGACATCAAACAAACTGGTAGACTACGGATACCAAGCAACCGAACGAACAAGATCTGACCAGACACGGGCCACGCTACTCGAACTGGCTCCAAGACGGCTCCAGGGGCGCTGGAAACGGCGCAGCATGGCGCCGAGGGTCTTTCGAGATTTCCGTATACGCCCTGGAGCAGAACGTGGATGACGAGGAAGGGGGGGAGCAGGGAACATAATAAAGACACATTAAAGGAACGGGGGCAAACTATCGGCCAGACAGACAAACCAAGCATGCCACATCTACCTTACAAACCAACCATACTTTACAAAATGACAGACCTAACTTGCTTTCTGGTCGGGTCGAGGGCGTCGTGGGCTTCACACACCCCGTGGACCTTCCCAAACCACTCCCGTCTCACATGTGGAATCCAAAGCCCAGGGTCGAGCAGCCAAGCTGAAGCGCAAAAGCAGGGGCAGCGCAGACGAAGCTGCCTGGCCATGGGAACTGCACCCCCTTGTTGGTTGAAGAGGCAATGGGCAGGGGCCTCCCCGGTGGGCCCAGCGCAGATCGCGTCGGAGGATCGCGCCGCCTCGCCGCCGTCAGGATCGAGAGCGTCGGGCTCCAGATCTCGCCGCACCGCTGATGCATCGGCGCTGCCTCGAGGCCCCCGGGACCCCTGAGGGGAGAGTGCGCTTCCCATACGCTTGCCCCGAGGACAGGGCAGGGGGGGCTTCTGCCCCTCCCCCTTCCCAGAGCACAGCAAGACCCTCTCTCGGCGAAAACTCCCCCTCCTCCCCCGAACGCCGCCCCCCTAACTTCCCCCCCCCCCCTCCCTGCGCAAAGGGGGCGGGGGGGTGAGAGACTGAGGGGCCCCGCTTTGGTGCAGGCGGGGGAAGGGGTTATCCTGCCCGAAAATGGGACACCTACAATCAACTGGTACAGATTCCAACCATTCGGCGCCAATCCAATACACGTAGAGAACCAATCCCAACCGCCTTGAGAGGTCTCTGAAGGATCTCTGACGAGACCCTCAGATGGTACCTGAAGGCTCCGCATGGGATCCCTGAAGGATCCCTACAGGATCTCTGAAAAATCCTTGCAAACTTCCCGAAACATCTTTCGAAGGATCCCTAGAGGTGCTCAGAGAGACCCCTAGAGATCCTCAGAGAGATCCGTAGAGAGCCTCAGACCGATCTCTAGACATCCTCAGAGCAATCGTTAAACATTTTGCCCCCCCCGATATTTTACGAAACACTTCTTGAGATCTTGAGAAGATCCCTGACATCTCCCCAGAAAGATCCTTGGATATCCTGGGGGCATAGCTGAAGTACCCTCTGGGAGAGCCCTGGAAGCCCGTAGAGGAGATCTGCAAGATCTGAAGAGAGATTCTTCGAGAGCCTCAACGGATCGCTGAATAATCACCAGGGAGGTCCCTTGAGATCCTTCGAACAATCCCTCGAGATCCTCTGGGACTTCAGAAGAGTGAAAGGACCTTTGACGGATCCTTACAAGGATCCCTAGAGACCCATCGACGGTTCTTGCAAGATCAACAGATCTCTGAAGGACCCGTACAACACTCCCTAACTATCCTGTTGGCGGACCCTGGCACCGATGCAATTCTCGCATGGGGGGCTACAAACAATCATTATCACATGAATACAATACATATCCCACGAGACCGCTATAATTTTCTGATCGGCCAACGTGTCCTGGGTGGCATCGATCTCATTGAACAAATGAAATGTGTAGAGTTTCTTTGTGCGAGCCGTTCA